ATCATCATCATCAGCATCATCAGCATCATCATCATCATCATCATCATCATCATCATCATCATCATCATCATCATCATCATCGTCGTCGTCGTCATCATCATTACTATTATTATGTTCCTTTTCTGCGTTGCGCCGACGAGAGATCGCCGCGTCTGTTTTCCTCCTCCTCTTCCTCCTCCTCCTCCTCTGAGGATCTTAGGCTCTGCGGCTGATCGCAACAAGCCTGCACGATCGCAACTGCTGGTGCTGCTGTAGGCTCGCCTCGTCCTCCTTCTCCTCCTCCACCTCCTCCTCCTCCTCCTCCTCTTGCTCCTCCTCGTCCTCCTCCCCCTCCTCGTCCTCCTCCTCTTGCTCCTCCTCATCCTCCTCCTCTTGCTCCTCCTCCTGCTCCTCCTCCCCCCGCGTCCTCATCGCCGTGGGCTCGACTTGGGGCAGTCGGGGGGTGACACTCGGGCCGCCTTCACGGAGACCATCGGTCTCCGAAGAGCACCCCCCCCGAGCCACTGCTGGAGTCTCTGGGGTGCGCCACGGGCCCTCGGCGTGCACTGAGAGGTCTTCCCGAACCCCAATGGGAAGCCGCGAGCAGCCGCCGATTCGAAACATCAGTAACCAGCCTCGAACTTATCCCTATCCCTAAGATGGGCGAGCAAAAAGCGAGGACAATCTTAGGGATCGGCCCTCAGAAACTGGGGGAATCCTTAAGATCGGCATCGAGGTGAGGTGATGCCAAGCATAGGGATAGGGATATGTTTCAAATTGGTAACCGATGGGAAACCGCGAGCCGCCGCCGATTCGAAACATCAGGAACCCTTGCAAGGCATCCCGGCTCCCAGATGCAAGTCCGAGCGGCCAGACGAGGCGCACGCCTCCATGGAGGGCCCGTGCCTTCCCCCGACGGGATTGCAACGGTCGTGCGCTCGCCGAAAAAGGCCATGCAGACAGCCACCCGAATGAGCGGACTGGGGACACAGCGCCCGTGGCACTATCCCTGGAGCTGCCCCTGCCAGGAGCGGGACCCGCAGCATGCTTCACAACTGACCCGCCCCTGCCTCGCTTCTCGCCCACACTGTGCCTTTGGCCTCTCGCTCTCGCTTCAGTGCGCACCCGCAGAGCACGCCTTGGCAGCCTGGAGGTGCGCGACACGACCGAGCGGCCGCGCGAGGCACGTGCCTCTTCGCACGACGTACGCCTTCCCAGCCGGGAGCGCTACGGCCGCGTGCACGCCGTGGCAGCGCAAGATGGTGCAGACCGCCACCTTACGCACGGGCCGCTGAGACCCCCTACGCGCAGAGGGAAGCACACACTTCAAGGCTCGACTCGTGTACTTGTCCGGTTTGCAGTTTGAGCCCCGGGCGCCAGATGCCCGTTGCACGTGACACCCAGCAGAGCATGGCCCGCTATGGCCGCACCATCTTTACGCCGAAGGGGCAACGCGCTGCGGTCGCCGGACTTTGGCGGGAGCTGCGGCTTAAAATGACGGCACGGCGCGCGTGCGATTCCGCGCGTGCGAAAGCCAGGGCCGCTGGCCTCTGGGGCCCTCTTGATCGCCGCCGCATCTCGGGCACATGTGATCCTCTTGCCCAAGATGGCGGGCCTCCGCATTTCGAAACTGGCCTCCCAGGGCCTCTTGCGAATGCCCCCACGTCGGCCGCACGGTTGGCAGTTGTCAAGGATGATGGGACTCCAGATGTCGGAGGCCAAAATTCATGGCACATGCAACATGTCCCCTGGCATGATGCAGAGGTCTGGTGGATCCGCTTGCGACCAGCGTCGACGACGCCTGGCAACACTTGGTTAGGAACCAAAGACCAGAACGCCAGCAAGCGCAGAAGGGTTGTGAACGACATCGATGATAATTTGGACGCCAAGGGACTACGCAAAGGCCTCAATAAGCCCCTATAGGTCGCAGCCACCGGCGACAGTGTACCTACATGGGCGGCGAAAACTGTTGCCGACGGTTCAGGATGCGCAAGAATCAGGAAGGGAAAAGAGCAAAGTGTCAAGCCCCACCTGCCCTTGTCTGACTCATACCAGAGAAAAGCAAAATCATAATCTTTTTAGGGCTGTAGGGCTATAGGGCTACAGGGCTATAATTATGGGCTCTTGGGCGCTATATGGGCTATATGGCTATATGGGTTATCGGGCTATAGGGCGATACGATATATATATATATATATATATATATATATGGCTACAAGGCTATAGGGCTACAGGGCACCGGCCACCCAGGCACCCGGCACCCGGCACCCGGGCACCCACCCGGGCACCGGGCGCCCGCGTCACCCGGGCACCCGGGCACCCGGGCACCCGGGCCCGGCCACCGAATCGGCGGCGAACCCGGGCACATGGGCACCCGGGCACGGCCACCGAATCGGCGGCGAACCCGGGCACCCGGGCACCCGGGCACCCGGGCCCGGCCACCGAATCGGCGGCACACCTCACCTGCCCTTCATCCGCTATAGGACCCCTGTATCCAGAGGCAGGCTCTGCTTGGGGAAGGATGCAGTGTGGGCGCGGCCGCAAGAAGCCCTCGCAAGAAACTGGACCCCCTGAAAACCCGCGCGCGAGGCACATCTGAGGGGAAATCTGGAGCACCCTGAACGCAGCAGCTTCTTCCTCTGCGGGAAATCACCGCGCAGCGCGCGGAGCGGAGAAACCAAGGATGCCCTGACGAACAGCATATGGCTTCTTGATGCGCGCCCCCACTGTATGTCCATGCCTGTCGGCTTGACTCTTGCAGCTGTCTGCCTGCTTGCATGTCGTGCCCAGGCGCCCGAGACCCGTCGCATGCGCCATCCACTGGATCACAGCCACCGCGCTCCGGCCGCCGGGCCTCGGGGCAGGCTGCGGCTTCATCGCCCGCGTTGTAAGTCTGGCAGACCAGGTGGGCCTCCTGATTTCGGGGGCTGGCTCCGGCTGGCCGCATGTCGAGAGCACTGATGTTCCCATGTCATCAAATGTGTTCTGTTCTGTCATTCCCCATGTCCTGAGACGGGGTTCTGGTTATTGCTCAGACCGCGTCGGCTCCTTCTCCTCAGCCTCGCTCATCACACTCGGACTCACTCACACTCAGGCTCACTCATATTCAGAATCAATCGGACCCACCAAGCCTCACACATACTCAGATTCACCAATATTCAGACTCACTCACACTCAGACTCGCTCACGCTCAGACTCATTCACACTCAGACTCACTCACACTCAGACCCTCGTTCGCGCCCAGGGTACGAGGATGTCTCGGGCGAGGCTCTGCTTTCAGCATTCCGAAGGGGGAGCCGCCAGGGGGCATTGCACGAGTATATTCGCGCTCAGACTGTGGGGATGTCTCAGGCGGTGCTCCTGTTCTCCATATCCAAATAGGCTTGACCTATAGGAGTCCTAGCTCATCATAAGTAATCGGTCTTTAGGACCCTCCCGCTTTTTCCAATGGCCCCCCCCCCTCATTTCCAATGGAACCCCCTTTTCCCCCCCCCCCCCCCTTTGCCAATGGCAACCCCCTTTGTTTCCAATGGCACCCCCCAGTTATTTCCAATGTCGAGTCCTATAGATTCCGATGGATTCCTATGAGTCGTGTGGATTCCTATGCCTATACCAATGCCTATATGCCAATGCCTATGCCAAGGCCTATGCCTAAGCCAACGCGTATGCCAATGCCAACGTAAGGCGATACATCACGAAGCAATGCCATACAATGCTCAGGCATGAGAAGCACCTCCATGCAATGCAAGGCAAGGCGACGCCATGCGCTGCTCGCTTCTTTCTGCTCGCTTCTGCTTGCTTGCCATGTCATGCTTGGCGTCCTCTGCTCCCGTCCTCTCCTCCTCGTCTTCTCCTTCTCTCACTCTTCTCCTCTCCATCTATCTGCTTGGAGTCAACGCTGGCTGATATGTTGGTGGCCCATATCTTCTGATTTCTGAACAGGTTGTGGGGACGTCTCCGGCGAGGCGCTGGTTTCAGCACTCCCACGGGGGAGCCGCCAAAAGGGGCATTGCCGTGGCCCGCGCGTGCCCACACTGTGGGAACGTCTCGGGCGGTGTGCCTGGCCTGGTGGCCAACATCTTCTGCTGTCAAAGGAGGGAGGAGGGGGGGAGGAAGAGGAGGGGGAGGAGGCGGAGGAGGAGGAGGAAAAGGAGGAGGAGGAGGAGGAGGAGGTCTCCGGCGAGGTGCTCCCGACGGGGGCCCGCCACGAGGTAGTGCACGGGCCCGCTCGCACCCAGATCGTGGGGATGTCTCAAGCTGGTTGCCTGTGTGGGTGGCCATGATCGTAAGCGTTCCAGGCAGATTGAGGATGTCTCAAGCGAGGCGTTGGTTTCAGCACTCCCGACGGGGGGGGCGGCCACGGGGTATAGCACGGGCCCGTTCGCTGCGCTGGTGTCAACACTACCAAGGGGAACCGCCAGGGGTTGTATCACTTCCCCGTTCACACCTTCGCTCCCGCCCCCGTCGTCTACGCGGACTCGCCCTCGCACACAGATGCTCACACACGCAGTCCCTCAGCGAGTATTGCCAGGAAGATGCTATGCACATATGCGGATCTCCGCGTCGAGACATTTTGCCAGGGACGTCGGGCCTCCAAATTGCGGACGCCATCTTGCGAAGGCCTCTTGATAATGCCCCCATGCCATGCCTGCCAAATGTCGGAGGCCCTCTCCAGGGCACATGCAGCAGGTCCTCTAGAATCAGACTACGGCTTTGAGAATCCACTTGCGACTGGCGCTGACGACGCCCAGCCACTCTTAGTTGGGAAGGATTATTACGTCAGCAGGCTCAGAAGGGTTGCGAGCGACATCTTGAATGCCGAAGGTTTTACTCAAAGGCCTCAATTAACGCTGCGCATGTTTGATCACAGCCAAAAGGGCGGTCACATACCCAAGTGAGCGGTTGAACTTGCCTTGCCGACGGTTCAGGATGTGCAAGGATCGGGAACTCCAAACATCAAAATGCCATACTCGGCCGACCCCCGTCTGCAAGAAGTTCGCGTTTGAAGAAGGGGCCTTTTTTTCCTGCTTCACTGCTCGTAGAGCGCGAGTCAGCCGCATCCTCCTGCACAATGCTTCAAACTGCACTGCTGGAGCCGGAAACGCGCCGGCTGGCAGCCTAATCGAATCGGCCGTCGGAAACGTCGACTAGAAACTACCAGAAACGACGCATTCAAATCCAATTCGCTCTCACCTGCGCGCCAGCCTCTCACTTCTTTGGAGCGCCAGCCTCTCACATTCGCTCTCAGCGATGCATTACTGGTGAGGGATTGGCCATTGCCTCGCCGAAATGAACACCAAGAAAGACACACAAGTCCCTAGCCCACATTTGGCAATTCTCATGAAACAGGTAATATATTGGATGCTCCTGGACCCACCTATCGGCAAAACCCTGGATGTCGGAATCCGAGTTCGCGGTTTGTCCTTTGTGAATGATCTTCGCGAAGGCGTCATCAGAGGATTCATTCGCGATTAGGTTTTTGATTGGGAGTTCAGGTGTTTTCGCAGGAGAGATTTCCCAGCAAGTATGTTCGATCTTCACCGCATAGTGGTCGGCGACCCCAGTGTCAAACCACTTCCCGATCCACGCCGACCTGCCGGTCTCCAGGACGCCATTCCGCTCAACAAACCAGTCTCTAATACGTGCGCCGCTCGGGCTGAAACGCACTGCAGACCATATGTCCCGCGTCTCCCCAGGCGCGACGTCCATGCAATATCGGACTAGTACTTTCCCTGAATCGTCGTAAATGTCCACCTCGAAAGGTTTGTTACACGGCTGGCCTGCGCTCATGTCCTTCCACGCGCCACGGTTATTACCGAGCGTTTCCTTCCAATGCGAAACGCCGCGGTTCCTGCCCTGCTTGTAAGTGAATACTTTGCCATTCAAGCCCGCGAATGAAGCGCAGTTCGTCTGCAACTCCCAACCGCCATCGTTCTTCTTCGCATGCCAGTGCTTGTTTTCAATGACTCTCCCATGATCGGAACGCCTCGCATACGTTATCTCGAAGTGATCGCCAGGGTTGACCTGTTCAATGTATTGAATGAGATTACCATTATTGTCGTAAATGTCTGCCTGGGAAGATTTGTTAGACGGCTGGCCTGCGCTCGTGTCCTTCCTCTCGCCAGAACTGAACTTGCGGCGCCAGAACGGAGTGAAACGCGCCCCATCATGGGGCTTGTAAGTATAGACGTTGACCTTCCAGTCCCTTGGAAGGTCCCGAGCCTGGAATGAAGCGCTGTTCGTCTGCAATTCCCAACCACCACCATTCTTCTTCGTATGCCAGTACTTGTTTTCAATGACTCCCCCATGATCGGAACGCCTCGCATACGTTATCTCGAAGTGATCGCCAGGGTTGACGTGTTCAATGTATTGAATGAGATTACGATTATTGTCGTAAATGTCAGCCTGGAAAGACTTGTAAGACGGCTGGCCTGCGCCCATGTCCTTCCTCTCGCCAGAACTGAACTTGCGGCGCCAGAACGGAGTGGAACGCGCACCATCATGGGCCTCGCAAGTATAGATGTTGACTTTCCAGCCCGCTGGAAGGCAAACCGTTTCAAAGCAGGCGCAGCTAGAGTGGTCGTTGCCTTGGCTGTTCCCCATCGGCGGCGTGGATGTCTGGTATACGCGGCGCGGATGCCTGGCACCTCGGCTTGGGCCTTGAGCCACAGCGGTTTGGGCCAAAGCGGCTTGGGCATCGAGCCCTCGGCACACGTAGCCCCGAATTTCGGGGTTGCGTGCGCCGAGGGCCCCCCCTCGGGCGGGACTGGCCCCCCTCAGGGCGGGGCCTGGCCCCCCCTCAGGCCCTGACCCCCCTCAGGACCTCACCCCCCCTCAAGGCGACGGGGGACCTGACCCCCCTCAGGACGCCGGGGATCGGAGGGCCGCTCCCGCTCCCTCGCCCCTCCCTCTGCCGCTTCCTCCGTTCCTGCTGCCCCCTCCCTCCCTCGTCCCTCCCTCCGTCGGCCCTCCCTCCCTCGTCCCTCCCTCGCCCCTCCCTCGCCCCTCCCTCGCCCCTCGCCCCTCCCCCCCTCCGAACCGAACCGGCCGAACCGGACCGAACCGGCCGAACCGAGCGACCGAACCGGACCGGCCGAACCGGACCGGCCAAAATACTCGAACCGGACCGGATGGACCGAACCGGACGGCGACCTGAACCAGACCGGCCGCACCGGCACGAAGGCGCGCCGAACCGGACCGAACCGAACCGAACCGGGGCCATCATGCCGAAAAAGGTTGGCCGCTTGAGCGTTATACAAACTGCTCGGAAGAGGGATGGGGAGGTGCTGATACCAGTCGGCGCTCTTGTGTCAGATATAGCTGAACAAATCGAGTACTCGAGCACACAAGTGGACTGAGGGAACTTATCGCGGCAACTATTTGTGGAAAAAGATGTTCCCAATAAGTTATCTTTTCTGAAAAATAAGTCCCCAATAAGTTCCGTGAGTTCCCGAGCCCCCTTGCAGCCCCTACCCGCCGCGGCCCCTCACAGCAGCCATGGGGCTCGTCCTTGAATGGGTTGTGCAATGGAGGAGGGAGGAGGAATAGGAAGCGGAGTGAGAGGATCAAGAGAGTGAGAGTGATGATGACGCTGATGATGATGGTGATGTTGATGATGATGATGAGACGGATGAGGATGATCATGATTATGATGATGGTGATGATGACGGTGATGGTGATGGTGATGATGATGATGGTACTGGCGATGGTGATGTCGACGGGCGACGTCGACGGGCTACGTCGACGGGCTGCGGGCGACGTCGACGGGCTGCGGGCGCGGCTGCGGCGGCGCAGCAGCGCGCGGCCGCTGCCCAGCACCGCGGCGGCCGCGCGCTCGTTCGCGACGGTCGCCTCGCGCCTGGCCTCGCGGGCCAGGCTGTAGGCCGACGCCGAGGCCGCCTCCGCCGAGCGGGCGGCGGCCTCGAACTCATCATGGCCGCGCCGACCGTCGGCGCCGCCCACGTGTGGCACTCCTCGCGCGCCATTCCTGCCGCTTCGGCTGCCTTCGCCGCGCGCCCAGCGCTCTAGGTCGCGAGATCGGCGCCCGAGAGCGGCGCCGCCTCGGCAGCGGGGGCCGCCGCGGGAGCGGCTTCCGCCTTGGCAGCGGGGGCCGCCGCGGGAGCGGCGTCCGCCGCGGGGGCGGCGTCCGCCGCCGAAGCGGCGTCCGCCGCGGAAGCGGCGTCCGCCGCGGGCGCGGCCCCCACGGCGGGGCGAACTGGGCGCGGGCGCGCTTTCACGAGGGGGGGGGGGCTCGGTGCCCTGCACGGGCACCTTCACCGCGGGGGGTGCCTTCACCGCGAGGATCCTCGTGGTGCCTTCACCTCGAGGATCCACCGATGCCCTCGAGGGCCTCGACGGCATTCCCGCGAGCTCGGTGAAGCACCGAGGGGGGGCCACCCGAGCGGGCGGCGGGTGCGTGGTCAGCGGCGGCCCCGCGATCTGCGGCACCGCCTTCGCCGTCGCGGCCGTCAGAGCCGCGGGCGGCGGGTGCTGAGGCTGCCGCGGGGCTCTGGCGCCCGCAGGCGGCCGTGCCACGGGCGGGGCGCCGCCTGCAGGCGGGGGGGGGCTGCATGGCGGCGCGCGGCCACAGCGGCCACGCGAGGAGGGAGGGGCGCGCGGCCACCTCGGATCGAGTCGCATTCAAAGCTGGGGGTTGGACCCAATGGCGATGATGACGATTGTGAGTCGGTCAGAGCGGATACACGCACCGTTTCAGCGGGTGAGCCGCTGTGGCGAAACCAAAATGACGATGCCAAAAAGGCGAATGGATATGATTGTGATGATGGCGATGTGAGTGTAGGAAGGAGGAATGACGATATGTTCTTTGCTGCCGTGCCGAGCTAGACGGCGTCGGAGGCCAGCGCTCAGTCGCTGTCGTCCGCGCGGGGGTCGACCCACTGCGTCTCCACTTCGAGGGTCACTCTGAACGTGGCCTTCGTCGGCGTCCTGTGATCGCATTGGCCACGATCTGGAGAGGGGACCCCTTCGGAACCATACATGGTGAAAAAGGCGGCCTTCAACCACGGGTTCGTGACGTCCTCGGTGCACTTCCACGTCTGTGTCACCTTCTTACCCGCTTCTCAGGCGGCTGGAAAATCTCGATCAGGTAGTCGTCGTTGCCGCCGCGCTCGGGCCTCGTCTCGGCTTCGGCGCGCGCGGCCTCGGCCTCTGTCATGGCTCTCGGCGGGCTCGGGGGAGTACGCGGGGCGGGCCTCGTCTCGGCTTCGGCGCGCGCGGCCTCGGCCTCTGTCATGGCTCTCGGCAGGAGCGGGGGAGTGCGCTGGGCGCGCCTCGTCTCGGCTTCGGCGCGCGCGGCCTCGGCCTCTGTCATGGCTCTCGGCAGGAGCGGGGGAGTGCGCGGGGCGCGCGAACGCGAGCTTGACATCAGACCGCAGCTTTGGGCCACTGGCAAAGGTATGCACTCATATCACTCATGCGGGGCCAGAGCGGATACGCGCACCGTTTCAGCGGGTGAGCCGCTGTGGCGAAACCAGATGTATGTGATTGTGATGATGTCGATGCGGGTGTAGGAAGGAGGAATGACATGTTTTGCCCAACCATCCTGTGGTGTTGGGCCCTCGTTTTGACGAGACAGCGCCCCGCGTGCACCTCCTCCTCCCGCCGCCCCCTCCATCCTCATCTTATCATCATCATCATCATCATCATCGTCATCATCGTCATCATCATCATCATCGTCATCGTCGACGTCACCACCACCATCATCATCGTCCTCATCATCATCACCCATGTCGGCACACCCCTCACACGCTTCGTGGCCCCATACGGAGCTCCACCGAAGTCCTCAGCGGCAGGGTTCGCATGGCGGCCTCGGGCCATTTCGGCACGCCCCTCACAAGGACCGTGGCCCCATAGGGAGCTCCACCGAAGGCCCCAGTGGCAGGGTTCGCATTGCGGCCTCGGGCCATTTCGGCACAACCCTCACGAGGATCGTGGCCCCATAGTGAGCTCCACCGAAGGCCCCAGTGGCAGGGTTCGCATGGCGGCCCCGGGCCATTTCGGCACACCCCTCACAAGGATCGTGGCCCCACAGGGAGCTCCACCGAAGGCCCCAGTGGCAGGGTTCGCATGGCGGCCTCGGGCCATTTCGGCGCACCCCTCACGAGGGTCGTGGCCCCATAGGGAGCTCCACCGAAGGCCCCAGTGGCAGGGTTCGCACGGCGGCCTCGGGCAATTTCGGCACACCCGCCACAAGGATCGAGGCCCCATAGGGAGCTCCACCGAAAGCCTCAGCGGCAGGGTTCGCATGGCGGCCTCGGGCCATTCCGGCGCACCCCTCACGAGACCGTGGCCCCATAGGGAGCTCCACCGAAGGCCCCAGTGGCAGGGTTCGCGTGGCGGCCTCGGGCCATTTCGGCACACCCCTCGCGAGGATCGTGGCCCCATAGTGAGCTCCACCGAAGGCCCCAGTGGCAGGGTTCGCATGGCGGCCTCGGGCCATTTCGGCACACCCGCCACGAGGATCGAGGCCCCATAGGGAGCTCCACCGCAGCCCCAGTGGCAGGGTTCGCATGGCGGCCTCGGGCCATTTCGGCACACCCCTCACGAGGATCGTGGCCCCATAGGGAGCTCCACCGAAGGCCCCAGTGGCAGGGTTCGCATGGCGGCCTCGGGCCATTTCGGCACACCCCTCACGAGGATCGTGGCCCCATAGGGAGCTCCACCGAAGGCCCCAGTGGCAGGGTTCGTGGCATGGGCGGCCTCGGGCCATTTCGGCACACCCGCCACGAGGACCGAGGCCCATGGGGAGCCCCACCGAAGGCCCCAGTGGCAGGGTTCGCATGGCGGCCTCGGGCCATTTCAGCACACCCCTCACGAGGACCGTGGCCCCATAGGGAGCTCCACCGAAGGCCCCAGTGGCAGGGTTCGCATGGCGGCCTCGGGCCATTTCGGCACACCCCTCACACGGTTCATAGCATCATAGAAAGCTCCACCGAAAGCGGTACCCACCACGCGGTACCCACCATGCGGCCCCTCGCCCATGGACGACGGCGAGGGCGGAACCCAATCCTCAACAATATCAAGGGTCACGGTGAAAGCGACCTTCTCCCAGATCCTGCCCTCGGTGCCACGAGTGGAAGTGCCAGCGCGTACATCGCGAGAATGGCATCCTTCAACCGCGCGCGGTTGAAGGATGCCTTTCTCGCGATGCACCGAGCCATCTTGAGGGCCGTCTTGAATCATCAGGGGCCATCTTGGGAACTGCTTGGGGCCAATCCTGCTGGTTTCGTGGCCCTCCCCCCGTCGCCCCCCCATGGGCCCCAATCGGGGCCTGTCGCCCGTGACACCCCGGAGTGTTTGGCGTCGGGCGCGGCCCCGTCAAACCCATTGGGGGGAGTGACACCGAGGCCCTGGGGAGGCCTGCCCGGGGCCCGTCTTGACACTCGCGCCTCCTCCGAGCCCCCCCCCCTCCCCGACGCCGCTTTGGCACTGGATCGAACGGCGCCCCTTGCTGCGCGAGGGCGCGAGCGGCATCCTGCGACGCGCGACCCGCGCGATGGATGGACGCCGCGTACACTGCCGACATATACAACTACAACGGCACGTGGGCCGATGCAACGTTGGCGACCTTCCTGTTCGAAGCTGAGTGCTACCCAGCCGCCCTCGATCACTGCGTGATGCTGCGTCTCGACCCGCGCACCGTCTGGGGCGACTTCGGCCACTTCGCTTTCATGGCA